GAGTCATCCAGTTCTTAGTTCTGCCACCCAGTTTCCTGGATGACCTTCTGTGATTTATGTAAGATCTCAGATACTCAGCTTACTCATTACTAAAATAGAAATACCTACTTTTTTTACTTCAAATACTATTCTAATAACTTTTACTCTGAGGGGATATAAACATAATTTTGTAAACTTGAAGCCATTATTCTGATGTAAAAGCATAATTATAATATAATTTGGTTGAACATCCATACATAAGGCTATAAATCCTTTCTTTAATAACATCTCACATTTTACCATCCAGTATTCTGTTGATAGTTTCCCCCTGCTGAGAACTTAGATTGGAAACCTGTTCTCTAAGAATGAATCCTAAGCATTTGAAAGTTCTTTCATAACCGAAGCAACATCTTCCATCCACGTGTTTTAGCACTGCGTTCTGTCAACATTGAGAATTGTCTCCTGTGGACCTTGTGAATAAGCCACACAGGGCTGCCACCAGCCCACAGACACCTGTGTTTCTTTACCCATTTCAAAATAGTTGCTAAAATTAAAATTTTAGGTATGTTGCATAGAGTTTGAATTTCTGGCTTCTTTTGAGAAATCCAAAATGAGCATGGCAGTAGGCTCACACTCTCAGCTGGCCACAGTCAGAGGGGTCACTGGGAGACATCGTAGCTCCCTAGACCTCCATTCTGACTCTGAGGCCAGAAAACATTTCTAGAGACACTGCTGTGTGCAAGTGCTTTTCTTGTATGTGTCTTGCTTCTCTCATCTCTGTTCTTTACAGCCTCTTGATAATTTGCGATTTCTGTTTTTCCAGCAGCCATTTAAGCAATGAACGACAGCTTATTTTCTTTTTGCCAAATAAATTTTCACTCTGAAACACTGGAATCCTCATTATCCAGAACTTTCTCCTCCTGCATCCTCTCATTTGTCAATCATTCTTTTCTTTGTAAAAATTATTTATTAATTTGAAATGCAGAGACATAGAAAAAGTAGGAGGAGGGGAGAGAGAGAGAGATATTGATTTTCAGTCTGGTGGTTCACTCCCTCAAATGCCTGTAACGGCCAAGTCTGGGGGGCCAGGCCAATGGCAGGAACTTGGAATTCAATTAGGTCTCCCAAATGGGTGTCAGAGATACGAGTACTTGATTCATAACCTTCTGTATCTCAAAGTCTGAATTGGCAGGAAGGTGGAATTGGGTATATAACCAGAATTCAAATTCATGCATTCTATTATGGGATGTAGGCATCCCCAGTGGCATCTTAACCACTACTCACTATGCCAAGCACCAATGTCTCTTTCAAAAAGTGCTCTGAACTGGGCATATACTACAGATAATATGAGGTCAACCCACAGGACATTAAGGTTCTTACCTCCTTCGGCAAAGGCACTACACTGTCAGTGTTGCCAGTTGTGACCTATTGGTCACAATGCCCTGAAGTCACCATGCAGTACCCATCATCCTATGTCCTGCTAATGTATGAATTTTAACCTAAATATGGGATCCTAAGTTTGTCTTAGAAATAGCTTGTCCTGTTAGTTACAACCCACCATTTCATTCTACTGACAAATATTTAATAGTTGATTCTGTACATCCCTGCATTAGAGCTTCCTCCAAATCTCAGGCCTTTGGCTACATGGACTTGGTTGCCTTCTGAACTAACATTGATCTGGAAATCAACACTGAAATTTGAATTTGAACAAGACAGGGAAGTAGAGACAAAGCGAGGTAATTCAGAGTGTAGGCAGGATTCTGAATCTGATTGGAAAAGTATTGATAAAATTTAGAGTTAGAGATTTATTTTTAGTACAAAAAGCAAAGAAAATTTTTCGGAGGTCTTAAGAGCAAATGTGGGTGACCTGGAGTCAAAATAAGAGAGCAGCAGCACAAGAAGTTGCTGTGCTTTAGGAGAGAGAAGAACAAGGCTGAGGCAAAAAGGACAAATCAAAAGAGAGTGGTAATATATTGCTTGCTGAAGGAGTGCTTATATGGAACACTTGGCAACAACGGTACAAGGAAAGTCCAATGTTCTTGCCTAACAGGCACTTTATCATGAGAGAGGGATGTATGGATAAACAGACTCCCAAAGATAAGAAAGTCTACCTTTCCTGTGTTTACTTGAGCATGCAGGCTCTTTTAGGAGGATGGTTATTAAAGCCAAGGGTTACCACATTCCTGGACTCTTAAGTGGTTGCCGTAGACACTGTGTGCTTTGGGCACCATGAGCAGTAGCAAGGATCCAGCATCACAAAACAAAAGGAAAATCAGTGAAATAGTTAATAAATCTGTGTCTTTTCTTAGTCATGCCCTGCTTGTCTTCACATTCGGACTGTGGGACCACAGCCTAGATGCTCAGCTATGGTGAAAAAGACTAATTTGATGACAGCATTGCTCTTTCTACTACAAAATGTGGTAGCTAATGAATACCTCCGGCTTGCTCCTTATTTAAGGCTCTTCTGTGCTCTCCACTATAATGGACAGGCTTATTTATTTTTAAAAACTCATATAACAAAGAAACTATTTATTCCTTACTTATTTTCTGAGGGTGTGTGTCAACAGCAGGCCAGTGATCAGTGGAGAGTGAAATTCGCACATAAATCGTAAGCTGATTGGCCAGAGGAGGCAATTGGCTGTCCAAGTGCTTACTCTAGGCCTCAAGGTACTGGGTTGTGGGGGGCAAGGAATAACAGTATTTGGAGGACCTGCATCTCATAGCTTAAATAATTCTATTTAGTCTGCTCCCTTGGAGGTGAATAAGCCTTAGGGGTTTGATTAATGGCAAGCAAATAATGAAAGACTCATTTTAAAACTATAATACCAATTTAATTAATAGGTGGTTGCTGGGTCAGCAAAAAACTGGAGCAAAGTGAACTGGCTTTGTTTTTAAAAAATTTTCTCTAGATTATAGTAGAGCCCAGAAATTTTCCTTAATTTACCACAGAGTATACTTTCCTTGTGTCTTGCATGCCTTCAACCCAGGGAGTGTTGAACAAGCACAGTAAGAACCTTCTCTTTTGTCTCCCCTTCTTTCCTCTGATAAACACAAACATCATCTAGGATATTAATTAGACCACATTTTATTTTCCACTAATTGCTATTTTAGTGTCATGGTTGAATTGTAGGGGCTACCCTAGTGGCAACCACAGTTGAGAACACCCCAGTGTAAGAATCTTCCACAACTCTTATGGGCTGTCCTACTCCATATTTGGGGACTACAAAATCAAGAGCAGCACCTTCAGCCCCACTCTGTCCTCCACCCATGGCTTAGGAACCCACCCTGGCTCTATCTTAGGACTTTAAGTTGCCTTATGTCACTAGTTCAGATGATTCAAAGTCAAAGTCCTCATGCCTTGGTCTGGGTTTATATCTCAGTAATCACATGTACATTAAGGATTTTATCCATGACTAGTCACTAGATCAAGTTAGTTTTAGCTTCTGGAGTCATTTAAACATCATCTACCCCTGCTATAAAGGCCAGAGATAGACAGAAGAGGAGATTTGAGGCTCTTTTATCTAGTTGTCAAGTTGTCTTTGGGTTTCTGATTTCCCTCTGAAATTCTTATGCAGCCAGAGTGGCAAACAGGCTTGAGGTTGCATGCCATTCAGATGGCATATCTGTGTGTGATCTGTGAAGGAATAGCAGGAACCAGGGCATGGCCTCCTGGGCAGGTGATATAAAACCGACCACTTTCCTCTCCAGACATATCCTTGAGATGTCTTACAGCTCAGCCCACTTGACAAGGAGACTGTACTGTGGTTTGAATCAATAGCACCAGCTGGAATTCTACAGGATTTGTTTGAACTTATCTGCATGCCCACATCTCTTTTAGAATCAACTAAGCTGATTCTGTGCCCATAATCCAAGGTACATGGCTCAAGATCTAGAATTTGGCCACTTCTATTATTTTTTGACCTTGGAAATGTGACTAATAAAGATATATTTTTAGTTCATTGACTAATTAAAAGGAATTAGCTATTGAGCATCTGCTGAATATAAGCCAGTGTGCCAGCCACCACCATGGGTGATATCAAGAAGCAAGTGCCTTACAGGTGTTTACAATTTAATTAAGAAACTATGACTGCCCATTCAACAGGAAACAGTTGATGGGGTAGAAAATAACCCACAGGAGGAAAAGACTGGGTTATAGAAAGCTTCTGTGAAGAGGTGAGATTTAAGGTTTATCATCAAGGATAAATATAAGTAAAATGTGCATAGAGTCAAAGAAAAAGTAATGTAATTTCTCTCCCCTGCAAGTGGGAAGACATCTGAGAACCTCAAGTTGATGGGATGGAAGGAGAAGTTAGGGGCCTGTGAAATAAGAAATGGAGGAAAACCTGAAACCTAGGACTAGGAACCACAGATAGGATCTGTCAGAAGCCTCAGTGTTAAAAAGATAGGAAGAAAGGTTTAGAGCAGGCATGAGGCAATAGAATGATGATGGGGGACAGTAAGTCAGGTTAGGAGTAGGGGTAACGTTGGGGGCTGGGATTTGCTGGAGTCTGGATGCTGGAGGTATCTGGACGCTGTGCTGCTCCAAGTGTTCCACACACACAGAATAATGATTTACATAACAGCACACTGGGTCAATAAAAGTCATTGCTCCATTTGAAGGAGATGAGTCCAGGGCATCCAGCTGTCCCAAGCACCACCTAGAAACTCCAAGGGGAGAATCATTGCCATAAGCCATGTGTTATACATGGATTGGGAGTTTCGGTCTTATCATGCCAAGGTCCAGCTCAAAGTGTTTGGTTAAGGCACTTGTCACTGTGACTGCTTATTTTGTTGGACTCTGAGGGCCTTTTCGGAGAAAGATGAGAACAGGTCTGGGTACTGTGTATGGGATGGGGCAACCTGTCCTGACGGGATGTAGAAACCAGGATGAGCAGAGTTGCAGAAGTGGAAGAGAACAAGGCATGCCTGAGAGCAAGGAGCAGAACTACGTTCACTGTGTGGATTATAAAGCCTAACGTGATGAGCCAGAAACAGTTTGGAGTTAGAGCATGGAGGTGAGCCCTGAGAAATCTGTTTTTCCAGTAAGTAAGGACATAAACCTTTCTGGCAACTTAGAGCTGCTGCTAAAGAGGACTCTGCCTCCTGGAGCAGGCGAGCCCATTGCCCCTAGTGTGCCCACGTAAAAGCTCACTGATCATCTGAGGACAGGGCTCTGTAATTGGCTGGAGTTGGGGATCCATGACCTTCAAAATCTCTTCCAATAACAAGTCTTTAACAAGGACTCATTGAGAATTCTGAGTGATAGCATGACAGCGTGAAAATCAGGAAGACTGAGCCAGGAGAAAGATGTAGGCTGGAGGAGGAAAAGCCACAGGCTGCGTGGTCACTGGGGAAGCTAACATCATTTGGTAAGTAGGGTCTAGCCTGTAGGTCAATGTTACCTACAACCATGTCCTCCTGGAGTTATTGCTGGTCCTTGAGCCTCATATGTATTTCCTCTATGAGTGGATATTAAAGGTACAACTTCTATTTTGTGAATGTCTGAATGGATATTAAAAAATACAACTTCTATTTTGTGAGTGCATGCAATTGTTTTCCCATACTCTTCAAAGATATATTGTACCATGATTAATACAAGGAAAACTCATACTTTAAAAGATATACTGCACTGTAATTTATGTAAGTAAAATTCATTTTTAGGGATAAACATATGATTTTTGACAAATATATGCTATCATGCAACCACACTTACACCCTTTTGTGACCACTAGTGACTACTGATTTGTTTTCTGTAATTGCAATTTTACCTAATCTGCAATGTCATATAGATGGAATCAGATGTTAAATAGCCTTGTGAGTTTGGCTTCCTTCAATTAGTATAATGCCTTTTACTATTCATCCATGATACTGCATGCAGCAGCAGACAATTGAATAGATATGCCAGAATTTGTTTATTCATTCACCAATTGGGGAACATTTCAGTTGTTTCCAGTTTTTGTTAATCATTTTATACTTTTTTTTTAAATATAAAAAATGTTATTGAAAAGGCAGAGAATATATCTAATAACTGTAGGTAGTGTTTAGGAAGTGGAATGAGTTGCCCAAGATCCTGGAAATTATGCTGTGAGAGATACACTGCTAAATCAGAATGTAATTATTTAAAAAACCAAACAAACAAGCAACAATAGAGCCATGCCAGGCCACCTCAGTAGGGGTTCTTAACCTGGGATCACCAAATTATTGCCCATGGTTAGGATTCAGGAAATCTGTGATAATGGATAAAAAAAAAATACATGCTTATTTTTACACACCTCTAATTGAACTGCAGCCCTTCCTTACATTATAAATGCTGAAAGCAAATCAGAGTAGTTGGTAGTACCTGTGCCTTTGTCACCAATAGATGTCAGACATTTTCATGTTACATCTAATTGGTAGATATATTTCCCTTTTTTGGGAAATTTTCAAGGTTTTATTTAAACACAAATAAAACGTGCACCCAAGCTGTCTATTCCTTTTCTTTGCTGTGCAGCCTGGCACTGGGGTTGGAAGCTCTGATGGGCAGCTGGGCTGCTCTCTCCTCAATGGCTTTGCGGTTCCTGGAGGGAACACTGTGAGCAGTCTCCGCACAGGAAGGTTTGTGCACATCAGCAGTGCCTCCAGCTCCCTGCCACTGTGGCCTGGGAACTTCACTGGGCAGCGTGGGCTTTGCTTTCTTGTTGTTCCCATAACCAATGTTGGACATCAAGATCTGGTCCTTGAATCTTCTCCACATTTTGTTGTCAAATACCTCCTATGTTCATCACTACTTTGAAACTATGGTAGTTGTTAGACTTGGTGTGAGACTTATAATTAATAGAAATGCATACATTTTACACTATCACAATTTGGAAAACCATTTTAACAAAGGCACTCAATATAATTGATTTTCTTGGTAATTTTCTATATTTAATTTTATATACAATGTAAGAGCCTGGGGAAGGAGACAGAATGGCCCCTAGGCCAGCAGGGCTTGGCTGGAATCTAATGGAATCTAATAGTTTGCATAAAGAAACAAACAGGTAGTCACCCTGGGACTCATTAGTGGTGGAAGGAAATGAAAAGGAAGCTGTAGTGTTGGCTATTTGGGTTGAAGGACTTATAGTCTCAAGGGCAGGACTTTCCCTGGAATAGGAAAGACTTCCCACGGAGACATGCCAGAAAATGAATGTTATTTTGACCTGGGTGAGTGCTGGCTTTCTTAGGAAATATTACTATTGTTGTTTACAGGAATTAGTGTTTGTGAGGCTGGTTACTGAGAGTTCATCTCTGACACTTTTCTGATGAAACTTGGATTCTGAGCCTTCTCAGTCGACTTTGGACATTGATCAGGCCAAGTCATCCAGGTAACACCCCCTATGGAGTGGGCCAGCTGGGCTCCAGTTGGAGACACTGACCTCAGTAAGCACCTGTCCTGCAAAGCCAACAATAGGAAGTGGGGCTGGTGTAGTGCCACTGATGACAGGAGGAAGGGGTGATGCGACAGCCAGGGTCAAGCAGGTGCTGGTGCCAGAGAGACAGGGTACTGAGGAAGATGGAGGGGTCAAACTGATTCTTCAGTTTAGGACCTAAGTTGACTAGAAAGGGTCTTTCTGACAGAGATGTAAAACAGTGAATCAAAATAACCACTGAATAAACAGAAGATATCATTTATGAAGGGGGGATAATTAAGAATTTAAAAGTAGAGGCAAAGGAGGCAAGGCAAGTTGAACTTTAGTTAGATTTCCTTGTAATACTCAATTGCTTTCCTTAAACAAGGTCTTCGGTGTCCTGGACAAATGGATCATGAGAACAGAACAATGGGGAATTCTTAGGTTGCTTGATTTCATTCCTTAGAGATAGAGAAATTTGACTGACTTTTCCAGTTGACAGAGCTGTTAGGGAGCAGAAGAGGTGGGCTAACAAGTCAGGCTTGCTCTTCTTTCCCCACAGATGAAAACTCCTCCCTCTTCTCAAACGTTTCAGCCTTTCTGTTCACTTGTGCACTACCACTTGGATTACTTCTCTGTCGCTTCCTTCCACTGAGTTCCAGACATCTTCAGTTCCATGGAGCCCGAGCTCCCCTCCGTCCTCAACGAGTACCCTCAGTGTTCTTTCTACCTCTTTATCTTAATTGGAATCTAGTTTCTCCCAATAACTGTTCTTCTCCTGGGCTTTCTTGGATGGTGCCAGTTCCCCCATCTGATCAAGAGGCTTTGTCACATCTATTTGGGATTCACTTGCCCTTCCTCCTAGCCCATGTCCCAGTGTCAGTCATTTCTGTGTTTCTCACATTAGGCTCCCTAGAGGTGTTCTGTTCTTCAACTTTTGCTATTTCCCCGATCCTGATGTCCCCCGCCATGTGCATGGGCAGTTCTAGGGAAGGAAGCAATGTGCTATACTGGCTTAAGGGGAAAGTGACAGAATTATCTTGATCATGCCCCCCAGAATGTACTTAATTTGTGTGCAACTCTCATTGCAGCTCATTAATTCTTGTATCCAAACTTACTGACTTCTTGTTGCATCCCCACTTATTTTTAAAGACTTGAGTTAAACATTTAACCTTCATTCTTTTGTGGACTAGTCCTTGATCCTCTTTCTTCTTTTTTCCCTCCTTTCAAGAGGGTCCATTATTTCTTCTAGACCACCCCCACTATCTTTCATCTTTCAAGACTTTGACCTTGATCTGCCTTTTTCTAAGATCATCCATTATCGACTCATCATTGTACTTTTACCTCTTCTGTCTATGCCTTCCTTCCTCTTAATTCAGCTCCTCTTCATCTTTCTACTACCTTTGACATATATTCTTTCTCTTGTTTCTATCACTTCTGGAAGCCAGTCTGCCTAGCGACTTCTCCTGCCTGAAGATGCACAGCAGTGGTGCCAGTCTGGTTTCCCTGCCCCTTTCCCTTGCAGGTCCTGTTCGACCTCGAGGGTACCAGTTTCTTATCATCATCAGTTCCCAAGGACTCTGTCAGTCTTCTACCTGGACCCCTCACTCAAACAGCTGCTCTCTAACCTCTGTGTAGAGACATCTATCTCTGTTCATTCTGGCCTTGCCTTGCCCTCTGAATCTTGCAGCTCTCTCATACATGTAGAATGCCTCCAGCTCAACATGTCTAAACCTGAAGTCTGCATTTCTGCATCCCCTCAGAATTTCTACCCTTGACCCCGTCACTCTTTGTCTAAGTGGAATTCTTGCTCTCCTTGTGAGTCAGGACCAGAACTTCAGGTGTTTTGTTGAATTGTACTTCTCTCTAGCACAAGACTATGGAAAGTACTATTTCTGCTTCCAAAATATTTCTCTCATTTGGTACTTTCCGTTTCCACGGCTCCAGTGAGTCTAAACCTTCATTGTTAATCGTGCAACCTTTTGCAATTTTGTCCTTGCTGATCTCCTTACTGCTAATCTATTTTCCATATAATCTTTTCTATAAGCTACTGCCAAATTAATCTTCTTAATGCATACTTCTGATTACATCACATCTCTCTTCAAAAGCTTTTTCTCACTCCCCATGGCCAGCCAAATGAAGTCTAATGCCCTTTGTCTGACATTCAAAGATAGCTATGACTTGGTTCTACTCCACCCTCAGTTATTGCTGTAGTTCTTCAAGCTCTAGCTGCACCTGGACAATCCTGTGACAGACCACCCTCCTACGCATGCCCCTCCTCATTCACTCCCCCTCAAGCATCAGCAAAATTATGATGAGGACAACAGTCTAAGAGAGAAAAGGCCAGGTGACAAATAGTTATGGAAGTACAAATAAGAGATTCTGTTGACATCAGGAATGGAGAGTAGGTGACAGAAAGAGCTAAGAATGACTTGAGGAAATATTTTATTTAGTTTGGAAAGATGTTTGGAAATAAAATCAATAGCTTACATGGGGGTACTTCAAAAAGTTTGTGGAGCATAGGAGGGGTCTTCGAAATGTCATGAAAATGTATATTATGAAAAAACTATGCATGGATTTCAAAATTTCCTTGCATCAAAATAAAGTTATCCTTTAATTATATTTTTCCACAAACTATTACAAATACCCCTGTAGTTAGAAATATTAAAAAAAATCTCATTTTGGACGTGTTAAGTTTGGAGGGTTGATATACAGGCATGTGTGTCTAGAAGAAGGCTGGAAATGAAAGCCTGAGCGATGAGGCTTGGATGAAACCGGGCTGGGGCGTGGAGATTCAGGGTCATGAGCATGTGAGTTGGACTCCAGCACTTAGGGGTCACCAGCAGACTTTAGTGACAAAAAGTCCAAGGATACAACCCTGGGGCAAACCAACATTGGTCAGTGACAAAAGCAAGAGAAGTTCAAAACAGAGGTTTTCCTTAGGCAGAAGCCAGAAGTGCTTTGTACCTTCCTTCGACAGTTATGCCATGAAATCAGAGTTGTTTGTTTCTGTTTTGTAGCATTAATACCTCAACAGCATAGGAATTGCCTTGTTGCTCTTACAGCCACAGTACATAGTGCAGGTGTGGCACACAGGGATAGCCTGACTAATGCTTCCTGAATGATTCAGTTAAAGATGGAGTCATCTCCAGTGCAGCTGGGTTTTGCCTTCTGTCTCAGTGAGCCAACACTTGTATTGCCCTCTGCATCTGACTTCAGGTGTTTCTGATCAGAGCTCAACGATTTCACTGCTTTCCTATGATCTGAATCGCAAGTGCAAGACTGAGGCAGACTGACTCTGAGCCCCAGGCTCCTCATTCCATCCCTGGATGATGCCTTCATCTTTCTGCCTGCTCACCTATGCTCACCTCCCATCATCACCCAAGTCATTTTCCATAAGCTCTGTATTTGCCTGAGGGTTCCTTTCTTCATCTTTGAGTCCAGACTCAAATTCAAAACTCCTTTATTGTAGTTCAGCAGGGTAGGCAGAAGCTTTTCCCTTGGACATTTAATAGTCTTTAAAACACACATTGTAGAAGACAAATTTACCTAATGTACTTACCCCAGAACAGATTTAGACACTGAACAAAATTCTTTATTCGGAGTTTTTAGGTGTATCTCTGTGTCTTTGGGGTCAGGAGAGCAACTTCTTTCTTCTTCCTAACCACATATTCTGTAAGTGTGAGTCTCAGACCAAGAGTGTCAGCCTTTCCTAAGAACTTTCTAGATACATAAATCCTAGAGTTCTGCCCAAGACACACTGAAACTGTGGAGTGGGGCCCAGCCCTCTGTTTTAACAAGCCCTCTGGCTGATGCTGATACTAAAGTTTTAAAGTAATTTTCTTAGATAAAATTAAGGTTTAGTGAGGTTGGGTCATGGAATTTGGAGTCTGATTTATTTGGAAGGTTTACTTCCTCCTAGCTAGGTAAACTTGATGTAGTCATATCCCTCTCTAGACAATTTTAAAAAAGTATAAGTTAAGTGATCTCAAATTGTAGTTGTATTTTCTATGGTTCTGCTGATACTTTTAAATACAATGATGAAAAATTCCTATGGTGTTAGCAGGACAGAGAATCAGTGTGAGCTGGGGACATTAAAGAGGCTGGGACAACTGGTGACCAACTACATGGCTACCTTTGATTCCATCCAACCTTGCTCGGAAATAGATTCATTTGGCCAGGCACCTATAAGGCAAACAGGAAACTACTTGCTGCCCTTAATCAGGTGTCAAAATTTTGCACTGGGAGAACCAAAGCTAATGACCTCTCACATGTAAGTTCAGGGAATCAGAGTCTCTCCAAGCTGCATAGAAAACACTATTTGCAGATATTAGTAGCTTAGGAAGGTTGTTGGTCAGACAATGATCAACCTAAATTTCAACAAGCAAAAGAATTAACCAAATAGTGGCTTAGTGCTACTGAGTTTTAGTTACTTATGAATTCAGCAGAGGAGCTTGTTCATTGTACTCTCAGCTTGAAGAGTTTAAATTACAAGGTCACTCTGAAAAAGAGTGCTGATTCTTCCGGAGAAGTAAACCATGTCATTAGTGGCTTGTGTAGTCAATACAATTCCTTTGGAACACAATTCAGCCTTGATTCTTTTAATACATATTCATGCCAACACTGTAATTCTTCAGTTGGAACAAATGCTTGCATCAAACACAAAAATAATTTATCCATAGCTTTATTTGAGTCACGTATAACCCCACTGGCTGTCTTCTACTCCTTAGTTCTGAGAATCATTCTAAAGTCATCATGAAGATTAGTGCTGTTGCTGGTAGATTTGGATTAGTGGTTTTCCTAACAGCACAGTTGCAGTCAGCCCACATCATTCACAGTCTCTTATCACCATTCTTGTGGGTGCTCTGGGGCTAAAGCCAGCTCCTGGGACAGGTAAACTGTCCCATCTTGCATTGTGTGTGCTCATTCCCTGGAGTCCTTCACTGACTTAGCCTCCATCTGGAGCCCTCCAGGGCAATAGATGCAACGGATACATTTGTACTTGAAACTCCACATGGTGACTCAGTGCCTATTTTTAAAGAAGGTTACACACATGAGTATGTGGAACACAACTGTGCAGATGTGATTTTTGAAATCTCTTGTGTCAGTTGAGGGAATATTGATTAAGAAACTCGGCTGGGAATTGCTGTAAAGGGCGTAGTATGCACTTTTGGTGCCACTACTCTTTTGAAGCTTTCCAAACATCTCCTGACTTCCTTGGTGTAGGGCCATATGCAAATCTGTCCACACCCACTGTGGCTGTAAGTGAGGACTGCTAGGCAGAGAAGTAAGATTTCACTTGAGAGGCAATGTAGTGTCACGGAAAAATGCACGCGCTTCGAATTTTCCAAAAATCTTGGTTTGAGTCTGACTTGCTAAATTCTAGCTGAGTTTATCATATAATCTATGAGGCTTGGTGCCCTTTGTTAAGTAGTGACAAAAATGCATCTGCCTGTGAGAAAGGATTGAATGATATAATGAGTAAGAAGTATGACACCATTTATGGTCCACAGTAATTCATAAGTGTCAGGCCGGTCAGGTAGAGGTGGCTGGGGGAAGTTGACTTATCTTTTTAGTTCAGCAGTTTAATATTTGGCTCTGTTTGTTGTGGATACTCTATCGAAAATGTTGTTAGCTCTTGACTGCCTGGTTCCAGACCCCAATTTTGGGGGAGAGTAATCAGTTTATTCTGACTCAATTTAAGAATCATTTCATTTTTTTTTCCTCGACTCCAAATACCATAAAAATAAAATACATAAACCCATTAGACTATTGGTTAACCTGGTAGTTGCCCCTTCATTGATGAAGCATGTAGAAACATAGGGTGATCATTGGAGCATTCACATGATGCCCCCATTTATTTCCATGGGATTCACCATGCCAGTTCAGTATCACTGCAGAGAGTTTGTGAAAATGAAGATAGTGAATAAGGTCAAGGAGAGAGAGAGGTTGTATCTATTAATACTCTGAAATATGATGAAGCTTATATCTCACCTTTCCTAGCCATGCAAGGGTGAGACTGAATAATCTGCTCTGGAGAGAGAGAAGCATTGGATCTGGGCCTTGTCTATTGTAAGGTGAAACAGAACTGTTTAAACCATATTTCTAGATTGTGTGTGATTCCACCTCCTCGCAAACGGGTCAAGGATGACAGTTACATCAGTAGCATTTAAACTTTGCCCTAAACTTTGAGCTTCTGTGAATTCAGAAGCTCAAATTGGCAGACTCAGTGACTGTGTTTGCGAGTGGGGAGATCCGACTGGACAGCACTTAGTCTCATGCCACTCTCTGAACAGAGAGAACAGCCTTTTGTGTAGGCGTCGGTTCCACCCTTTTCTAATATGGCGTGGGCATTTTTTTAACTCTAACAATTCCTAGGACCTGCTATCTACTGTTCAAAAGCTACTATTGTTTCTATTGCTTAAAAAAAACAAATCTATGACAAAATTAATAGAAAGTAAGCAGTGGTTACATGTTTTATAAGTCATGTGTTGTGTGTGCTTGAGAAATGGTAACCCATTTCTGGATGAATATCAACTTCAGATCACTCTCAATGCTTAGGTCAAGGATTGGCAGGCTATTGGCCATACCCATGTGCCCCCCAGATAGTGAACAAGAGCAGTATGGTCTTCAGTATTGGTCCTGAAGGGGAAGTGCTTGAGGTTCTTGTAGTCAGTGTTTGCAATCATAACAGCACGGTCCCAGGAGGGATCAATGAGTCAGTCAATGCCAATCTTGAGGGTGAAGTTCAGTACTAGGTGTTGGCTGCAAGGGAAGTTTCTAGCATAACCTTGTGGTTGAGCAACTGAAACTTCCTGTTAAAAGAGTGTGTCAGGAGGCAGGTTTATACACCTGAAACCAGAGGCACATAATAAAGTGTTTGGTTGGTGACTCAGACTGAAATTGTCCAGCACATTTGGGAAAACACAGATGTCAATGTTGGACTGTGGCATTGAAGAAGACTGTGGAGGAGAGGTTGTGCTGGGGCTTATAGAATACCAAAAGATTCAAAGGCCCTAAATGAAGGAGGGAGAAGGAAGGAGGCATTCTCTCACTGGAAATTTCATGATTCTACCTAACTAGAGCCTATTTTCACTTTTCTGCTTTCTCTCTCTCTCCTCTTCTCTCAATTTCCTACCTCTCTTTTATGGCTTGGGGAGAAGTGTAGAGCAGGAAGCTCTTCCTCACAAGAATGTATTGAATCTGGTGTGAAGTAATCCAGCTTCTGATGGGAGAATTGGTCAAAGTGGGCTCCTGGGCCCTCGGGACCATCTAGGACCCAACATCTGTAGGATCACTGCTCAGTTTTTAGAATTTTGGGCACAGTTGTTCTGGACACCTCATCTGGACCTCTCTGCTAGATGCTTCCCAGTCTTGCCCTTGCAGCATTGCAGTGGGTGCTGTCTGAGCATCTTTTTAGAGTGGATCAGAAATCACATTGAGACTGGGCTCTGACCTGGGCCCATGGGAGGAGGCTGGACGGTGCCTGTTGTCCTTGCCCATTCCTCTTCCAGCCTGGAAGGGAGGCTCTTTGCTTCCTCTTGTGGTCGTATGCCCAGTACCATGACTGAAGTGGAATGTGCTTGGGAGCCCAGAGCTAGAGGTAAATAAGAAGGATCGTTGGGACCCTGGTACACCATTTTGGTTGGATTCTTGGCTGAGATTTGACATTCAAAGCCACTGATTTTATGTCCCTTTCTGGGAAAGCAGAATAAAAAAAATAGTGTGAATAAGGTTGGGGATTATCTGGGGATTTCAAAATGATTGATTCTCTTTAAGAAGGATAATCTAAACTTGAATGTATAAAGTTTGTAATTTCAAGTCTTACGCAGGCTGAAGGGGGCCAAACTGGGTGTGTGAAATCCAACAAACACAATGGAAATGATGTATACACAGGAGGCTGTGTGTCTCCATTAGAACTCTTAAAAATTGGTCTTCTAGTTTCTTACCTCAAGGGCCGGAGCAGTTGGGTCTGTAGGGAATCCAGGGGGAAAAGCTCTCAAAAAACACTCCTGTATATACAGAGAACAGATTCTTCCTTCAGTGCCACCTTGCCGGACTGTCACTGTGGTTGTGAACCTTGTTGGATGTTTACATCTCTGTTTACCACTGATACTTCACATTTAATTAGCAGAATTCACTGTACCCTGTATATCCATGTTGTTACACTATTTCCAGCCTCTCCCTGTCCCATGTGGAAGATAAGCTGGGTCTCCTGCAGGAACATGGGCCATGGGTCACATAGAGCTCTGTTCAAATCCTGTTCTTCCCATCCTCTAGGCGTGTGAAGGATTTTCTGGCTTCTCAAATTTCCCTGTTCCTCTTCTTCAACACTGAAGATTGGTAAGGATCAGTAGAAAAAAGATTCAGAAAGCGGTGATTTGACAGAACCTGATCTCCATCTATTCTTTCCTCTTTTCACTTCAATGTGTCTCAAAAACCTCCTTTTAATGTGTCCCCTTCTTTCAGCTAGACTTAACTCTTTGGTTGCAGAATTACAGACATTTAGAATGCCTGGCTCTGAAGGCAATTTAGTCATCACTATGTACAACCTCTCCACTTCCAGATTAAAAATAGAGGTTCCAAAAGTTTCAGCAGCTGGCATGAAACAATACTTAGCAGTGAGAGCTTGTCATGCACTAGGCATTGCACATTTCATCACTGCAACAACCTTGCGGGGTGGCTACTCTTCTTATACGAATTTTATAGATGAGAAGTAGAAAAACCAGGATGGAGTAGTTTGCTTCCTATACCATCCAAGACTGCACAAATCTTCGGTGAAGAAACCAGGGTTGTGACTAGAACACTAGAAATATGCCTTCTTTTATTTTCCTCTGGGTTGGCAGGTATACTGTCCCCCACAGGGCTCCAAGCCAGACTCAAGCCGGGCTCTTCCTGCAGCTTTATCACCAGTGGCTTGGGCTGCTGCCGTCTGGTGTCACCACCTCACTCTCCAAAGCTTGTCCTGAGGCTCTCAGCTGCTGGGGTCTTGCATTGTGTGCATCCTCATCCTCCATGTAGATTCAGTGTCCCTCTAATTTGCATGAAGATTCCTCTGCCATTTTCTCCCTAACTGTTCCCTGAGATTGCACTCTCTCCATGTTTTTTTTTTTTTTTTTATTTGACAGGTAGAGTTATAGACAGTGAGAGAGAGACAGAGAGAAAGGTCTTCCTTCCTTTGGTTCACTCCCCAAATGGCCGCTATGACTGGCACTGCGCCGATCTGAAGCCAGGAGCCAGGTGCTTCTTCCAGGTCTCCCATGTGGGTGCAGGACCCAAGCACTTGGGCCCTCCACCACTGCCCTCCCAGGCCACAGCAGAGAGCTGGACTGGAAGAGGAGCAGGCAGAACTAGAACCCGGCACCCATATGGGATGCTGGCACCGCAGGTGGAGGATTAACCAAGTGAGCCACGGCGCCGGCCCCTCCATGATTTTTTTTAACTCTCTTCCCCTAGACTGGAGCAGTAAGCGCCCTCCCTATTCTATCTTCTTTGTCTCTCTGTCTCACAGTCATTTGTTTAACCTGGTTCGCTTCACCTACTACAAGCAGAGATTCATCAGTTCTCTGAGCAAGGCTCCCTCCTACAGAGAGGATCAGCCCAGAACATGGAACTGGCATAACTTGGGCTCAGGACCCAAGACCATCCAAGTTCCCCTAGAGTCCCTAGACTTGATTGGACTTAGAGGGTTTATCACGTTAGAACAACAGCCACTACAGAGCCTTAACCCAGAGAAAGGCCTTATATGGAGGATTCTGGTACATTGCTGGCCATTTAAGGCACTTTGGACATAAGTAAGCGTCTTAGTAACTTCAATTCCATTGTTACTTCTCCTGCAGGTGGCTCAGAAAGGACAGTTTCTCAAAGGCTAACACTCTGCAGTGTAAAAGAGCAACTGCCAGAACAGGTGGGAAAGACCTTACCTTTGGTGCTGGCAGTCGGGGAGAGGTGCAGGGGACCTGATCCTCACATCAACCAAGGGGAAAATACTTGATTACTCATGCTTCCTTCACTGTGTAGGCACTGGGGCTGTGGAAATGGTCACTTTGCTAACCCAGTCCTGCCCCTTTCTCCAAATTGAGGACTGAGACAGGTAAGATTCTCATTTTCTATTTGCCTCTATTTTCACACAGCCACTTCTCTCACCTAAGACTTTTATTTGCCTCAATAAACAAAGAACTCTGCTTGAAAGAACTCCCCTGGATAGCCATATTAATAATGGAAACCTATTTTGTTCCAAGCCATTGGGTTTTTCTTTTTATGATTATTATGTCTTTTCAATTGATTAACTTTAAACAAAAATTAAAATAGAGTCCTGAGGCCACTTGAGTGTTACTTTCTTAGGTGATACAATGAAACCACTCCTTTGTTCAGTTGCTAACATTGAAAATAAAGGATGAAATTGGGGTGGGTGAAGGCAAACATTAAACAAGGCTAGTGTTAGAGATGACAGAGTCCAGAGACACACACTCTGTCCAACCAGCCAGGTGTGGAAAGGCACTCACATATGTGTCTTCATATTAACTGGGTGTCTCGGTGCAGTTTAGTACTTGGAAACACAGACATAATAGAATGCAAGCAGAAATCAAGTAATGAGTGGGCACCAGGGTTGAGGTGGGCAGCCCTGGTGTGGGGGTAGCACTTGGAGCAGCCGCATGTTGATTCCTGGGGCAGAGCTGCCAACCCTTGCAGACTTAACTTGCAGAGGTTACTGCCCTGCAGCACAGTCAAGTTCAGGTGCTGGATGGTGAAATGCTTTTTGGCAGGAAGAACTTTGCTTTTGTCTGCCTAATTAAAGCTGTTGGAATAATTTGTGTACAAGTGTATTTCATGTCAGTGCTCAAGCAGGTCTAAGGTTCCCAACCAAGAATGCTGAACAAAATTCATGCACCAGGGTTTGCTTACTTTTTACTATGAAGCATAATTATGCACAAACTGAAGACCAATTGGAAGATTTCATCATAAATATCATACCTATATTCCTTAACTCATAAATATTCTTAAAAATAATCGCTGAGTTTAGTTTTGAAATAGATAGCAATGAAATTCTTACCTGTGCCTACTTCAGAAATTCAATGAAATTCTCCATTTTGAAAATGAATGACAGCATCTGGCATGTTACTATTGGATAAAAAGGATTTGTCAAATGCGTTGTCCATTGACAATGTTTCAGCATTGCTGCACTAATGGCCGCAGAAGACCTACAGGTAAATAAAAACCTGGTCAGAGAAGACACGGAAGAGGTGTCTGTGTCTCTAATGAACTTGACACTCTTCTTTCACTAGGGGTTGATTTCCTCTGATATCACACCTGATTTTTGCACTTCCTTCTTTTTGTATATACACATTCAACTCTAAGGAATTTCATAGGGGAAAATGCACGTATGGAGAAAAATTCCCTTGAAGCTTTGTTACACATAACCCTATGGATCAAGCCATATGTGGTCTCCATTCATTTGTGTGTGTGTATGTGTGTGTGCGCATGCGCTCCCATAGGCGGAATTGGGTGAGACAGCTTGGTGCACATGGGATTGTCCCAGCTTGGTGGTATCAAGGCCCGGACATATGGTTATGTGGGGTGCTTGGATCTTGTGGATGGGAAATGGAATTCAAATTCTAAAGGACAGCAAAAGTCAAAGTTGTATGAATACATGCAAGGCCTGATGATTAATCCTTAGCAGAAGCCAAAACTCAAGCCAAATATCCTGCAAGAGAAAGGAGCAAAGCCAGGAGTTGGCAGAAACTGCAAGGGAGCAGGAGAGGCGGCAGAGGAAAGCACTGGACGCCGTGCTGACCAGCTGGGTTTTCATGTGACCCTGGGTGGGCTTGCAGGATGTGTTAGTTTAGTTCAAGGAGCTGCTAAAGGGCAACAAATTCCTTGCAGGACAGGAGATGTTAAAAGTGTCTCATGCCTAAGTGTCAGTCTGTATCATCAGACCTTGGATGTATTCATCCATTGCTAAGCTTTTCAAAGGGATCTCCCAGGGTGAGGCCCCGTGGGCCTGGGTGATCTTCGCCTCAGGAGCTTGGCAAGCTGCTCCAGCGCTTTCTACAGTGTTTGATGTCCTGGGAGTCCTCAGGCTGTTCCTCCAGCTTCTCCTTCTATAGCTTTCCTGCACCAGTGGGGCAGCGCTGGGCTCAGGGGAGGCCCCTTCAGAGGTGCTGCCCTCCTGGCCCTGCCTCGCCCTGGGAGGTCCCCAGGCTGCCTTGAGACAAGAGGACCGCCCAAGCTGCAGTGCACAGGGCGACATCCCTCCTCAGAGGTCACGTGGCAGTGGCCTGCGGTAAGCCCAGGTTCCAGCCCACTGGGAGGACCTTGGAAGCTCAGCCAGGTTCAAGGGGCACCCCAGCCTGGTGCCGCCATCCCTCCTGGTCCATTGCAGCCACCAGGGGCCAGGTGTTCCGCCATGGAGCAGGAGGGCACCCCAAGCCAGGGACCTGGTGAAATGAGCGCTAGCCCAGGACTGCTAAGAGCCTCTCCCCTCTGACTTTCTTCTGTGGACCGAGGTTAAGCCATAAGGTAGGGTCTTGCCATCAGAGAGTGCCGGAAAGTCAGCAACTGCCATTTTCTGCTTTTATCAGCCAGAAAGGAAGAAGGTCCAAAGCAAGTGCAGTGGTGAGGGCACAGGACAGTGCTGGTCACAGCAGCTTACGGCTCTGCGATCCTCAAGGTCTCCTTTAGGAAAAACCAACTTTGGGCCCTGGTTGTGGCTTAGTGTATAAAGTTATTGTCTGTGATGCCACCACTCCATATGGATGCTGGTTTGGTCCCAGCTGCTCCACTTCTGATACAACTGCCTGCTAATGGCTTGGGAAAGCAAAGGAAGATGGCCCAAGTATTGCATGACCCAGCCTCAGCTGTTGCAGCCATCTGGGGAATGAAGCAGTGGGTGGAAGATCTCCCTCCCTCTCTCTCTGTAACTCTGACTGTCAAATAATCAAAATAAAAATCAAGTTCCACCACACTGTAATTTCACAATCCAGCCAGCCTTTTCAATTGCTCTCCATTGAAGCTGAAAGAACAACTGTTGACTCCCCAGAATGAATCTTGAAAATCGTTAAGCAGGAGACAAGCAGGAAGTTGGTGTTTCTTTGCCTGCTCTCTCCTATATCCTGCCGCTTTGGGGGAAATCACTGGAGATGGCAGGACCTGTTGAGAACTCTTACTAAAGAATAAGGTTTTGGGGAGAAAGGTTGGTGTCAGCAATAGAGCAGATGGAAGTTATGAATTACATTGTCCATCAGAGATTGTCACATGCCAGCTATGGTAACAAATGTTCAGTCCGTGAAATGAATTTTAGATAGACAATATCAGGTCCACTTTCAGAGTCGGATTTTCTCATGGCTTGCTCTGATGCTTTTGGGTCCTGCTATGTGTGCATGTGTCTAATATCTTTAAGATTGCTCTGTAAAAAAAAATTAAAAATTTTTAAAAACTGCACTGTAGAGGCTGGCATTGTGGCATAGTATGTTAAGTCTCCAACTGCGTTGCTGGCATCCGATATGGGCACTGATTCAAGACACAGGTGCTCCACTTCCAATCCAGCACCCTGCTAATGCACCTGGGAAATAATGGGAGGATAGCCCAAGTGCTTGTTCCCTTGCACCCGCATGGGAGGTCTAGAAGAAGGTCCAAGCTCCTGGCTTCCGCCTGGCTCAGCCTCAGCCATTGCAAGCCATCTGGGGAGTGAACCAGTGTCTGGACGATCTCTCCTCCCCCTCCCTGAAACTCTGCCTTTCAAATAAATAAAAAAATAAATCTTTTTAAAAGAGGACTGCCCCAAAGCAGGATTAAGATTCATGTAAAATGTGTTGGATCATGCTATAGTCAGCTTTGACTGTGTTAGGAACTAACAAAAATCAAATCTGGAGAAATGTCTGTGTGAATTCACTGCGCTATCAAGTCACTAAAAGAAGACTAAGAAAAATCTTAAGATGGATACCTCCTTAATGAAGAGTGCCAGGAGAAGTTAGTTTGCAACAGTATCGAGAGAGATTCCAGCCAGACTGCAGAAGCACTTCCTGAACCAGAAGCTGTGAGTGGTAGCGGCCCCGCCCCTGCGTTCACAGGCTGAGAGGTGGCTCCCAGCGGGAGGATAAGGCAGGTTGACCCCAAGCTTGTTCCAGCTCTCTTTGGCACTGTGAATGTATTTCCCTCACTTATTGCAGATCACTGCTATTTTTCCACTTGTGAAAGTCAGCCCTTGACAATTTCTTTGTAGGCTTCAAAGCCTTCCATGAATGATCTCTGTTCTCATGGGCTGGTGTGGACATCTGTACAGAAAGAAAACTCGGGCGCTGCAGAGGCTACAGATAGGGTTCAAGGTCTCGATATGATTCAGAGATTGAGGAAGCTGGGGTCTCTACCCAGCCCAGAATTTTTTTTTTTAAGATCATAGAAACCAAATGAACGAAGAAAGCTTGTTTTTCACTGAAGGGAAAAATCCACAAACCAATAGTAACTTGGCCTGACCTTTACTGCCCCTGTAGGCCTCAGAGCTGTTGGCTCTACCTTGTAATAACCCTGATCTTTCCACTAAAAAGGAATGCTAATCAGCCTGGCTTTGTCAACCTTCATTTGTTTCCCTGTTGCTAAGTGATAGCTAAAGATTACAGGCCAGTGGAAATTTCTACTTGGCACTTTTGTTTGCAATGATGAAAAATAGTTTGGGGTATTTGAAGAAATCATTTACTGGGCCTTTGGCACCATTTTTTATGCTTTTGAAAATATTTATTTGACAGGTAGTTATAGACAGTGAGAGAGAGAGACAGAGAGAAAGGTCTTCCTTGCGTTGCTTCACCCCCCAAATGGCTGCCACGGCTGGCGCTAAGCCGATCCAAAGCCAGGAACCAGGTGCTTCCTCCTGGTCTCCCATATGGGTGCAGGGGCCCAAGCACCTGCGCCATCCTCCACAGCACTCCCGGGCCACAGCAGAGAACTGGACTTGAAGAGGGGCAACCCGGACTAGAACCTGGTGCCCATATGGGATGCCGGTGCCGCAGGCAGAGGATTAACCAAGTGAGCCACGGCGCCGGCCCTGGCACCATTTTTTTTTAAGAGTCCCTCTTGATGGCCCAAGTGTTTGGGTCCTGCACCCGCATGGGAGACCAAGAGGAAGCACCTGGCTCCTGGCTTCTGATTGGCGCAGCGTGCCGGCCGTAGCGGCTATTTAGGGGGTGAACCAACGGAAAGGAAGACCTTTCTCTCTGTCTCTCTCTCTCACTAACTCTGCCTGTCAAAAAAAAAAAAAAGAGTCCCTCTCTGTCCCAGCAGTCCACAGATTGGAAGAAGCAATAACCAAACCATTTGCAGAGATGCAAAGGGCCCTTCCTGCCATTATCTGTTGAGCTAGGGCTAAATGTTCTTTTACAGGCATGGGACAAATCATTATCTTTGCATACTGCATAACTTCTTCAACCCTAACATGGGGTGAAATGGTAGAGTTTATCACTAGGACTGTTGGTGAGGATAAAACAGGTGACGGAATGAGAAGGGCTTAGCATAGTGCCACCCACAGAAAGCGCTCAGCATATATTGGATACTGGATACCATTATTATTATTGTCATCACCACCATTGTTGTGGGTGAGATTTTCTCTATGATTCAGAGGATTATTATTCTAAAGGAAGTACACATTTATTTTCCTTTCTTAAGTAATGCCTGCAGTACAACACTTTTTATAGCTATTTTTATTTATTTGAAAGGCAGAGAGATACAGACAGAAAGATAGGATGAAGATCTACCATCCTCCAGTTCACTCCCCAAATGCTGACAACAGCTGGGTCTGGACCAGGCCAAAGCCAGGCGCCTGGAACTCCGACCATGTTTCCTATATGAATGTCAGGGACCTATGTACTTGAGCCATTACCAGCTGCCTCTTAGAATGCATATTAGTAGAAAGCTGAAATTAGGAGAAGAGTCAGGACTGAAACCCAGAATTCTGATATAGGACGTAGGTTTACCAAGTGACCTCTTAACTGCTGCACCAAATGCCCATGTGAGTACGATTTTTAACCAGGGTGAGAGCTATTGAGTAATGAAGGCCACTGTGTCTTACAGCTTTCTTCACCTAGCAGTGCTGCAGGGTGCCACCCTGTGGGGAACACTGAATCCAGAGTGGCCTAGAGGAACTTCCTGAGCCTGCCTCGAATTTGAAAACCTGTCTTTAAGCTTCAAATCCCTGGTGGCAAACACCCCAGCCCCAGGGCGCTTCTGCCTAAGGATCCTTGAGGTGGTATAACAGGAGTGGCTAAGACCCTTTTGCATCACATCACCCCACCCCTTGCCCGCGCTCATCCGCTCTGTACCATCCGCTCTGTACCTCAGCTAAATATACTCCTCCCTTTTACAATAAAGTGAGACCCTGCTTCGACTGGGCTCCCCACCGCGTCTGGTTGTCCCCGGGTTTGGGGAAGGCTGAGTGGCGGGTGGCGCACTTCCCCTCCTCGTTCAAGGCAAGCTGCGGGCAGCCTGCCTAATTCTCCAGCGGTGGCCAGGAACAGTCACCGCACCACCCCATGCGCTTCACATTTGGTTTGCTGGCATACAAGGTTGGAAAGTTCAGAAGGCAGTGATGGGTGGATAAGTTCAGGTGTCCTTGTATCTTTGCAGGCACCAAAAATAATGTGGGAGTATCTCTGTCTTGTTCACTTTGAAGCACCTGTTAGAACTGCAGAGAGCTGATTTTGAATGAACCTCACCGGTAACCTGCTGTCTGTAATTTTTACATCATAAATAATTCTGTGATAAACATCGTGTACGTGCATCTTTTCATGATTGTCAGATTATCTCCAGAAGTAAAACTCTAGGGGCTGGGCTGCAGAATCTGATTAGCTTTCAATGAGTCCTCAGAGACGTCAGAGGAGGCAGCACTAGGTAACAGATGAGCTTCATCCCAAGGGACCAGGGCTAGGTAGGATTGGGGGAGGGGCAGGGGGAGGCTTGGGCATTTGGTTTTCCTCTGAGTTCCTTCTATTTCCTTTATAGTTTCTCTTGGTTTTCTCCACTTCTTTTTTGAAGCCCCTGATTTGTACTTTCAGCCAAACATCACTGGAATATGAAAGAAAGAGGAAGAGAGGTATTCTTTCACCATTTTCTTTATTTCTATTATATTCTAGCTTTGGCTGTAGATGAGGTAAGTGGATCCTTAAACTAATTTGTCTGATTTTTAAGACTTAAAATCCTGCACTTGTAATAACCCCATCGTGAGTTATTTTACTCTAGTTTAGAATTCTCCAGGTTATATGGAGATTTTATTCTTTTTTTTTTTTAAGAGAAACTTCTGTATGAAAGAGATTGTCCGCTAGAGAAGCATGAATCTCCATCTCGCTCTAACCACATCTTTGGTTGTTCTCAAAAAAATTTGAAGAATGCTTTGTTTGTGTGTCTTTTCCCTTCTGTGACAATTTCTAACTAAATGCCTCTTATCGATGTTTCATTCCAAATTCTCAGAGAAAGGAATTAACTGGACCTATTATTCACCATCATCCCATTAGGGGCAGATCTTTGAAACAGCCTACTTCTTGGGCTTCTAGACAGCCTATAGAGGCTACTCTTGAGCTATGCCCTCATCTGTCCTCTCATTTGCTGTGGGCGGTGCGTGTGGAAGGGTGGCTGCATCACATGGAAGGGAAGGACCCCTCTGCTGTCTGGAATTTGAGGCCTGGGAACCAACACTTGGTGGTTCCACAGCGCTCTTATGCAGGGATTTCTCTTAAATTGTCCAACTGGGAAAGATAGACCTTGGTAAGCATTGCTTGGCATTTTGAGAAAAGGAGCCCGTGAAACTGTCTAAACATAGACTTATGCTGTGACCCAACATCTCTACTCCTAGGTCATCAGCCCAAGAAAAACGAAAACATATGGGGCAACAAAGACTTGAACAGGAATTTTCACAGAGCTTTTAGACTTGATTTTTGGGTAAAGATTCACTGATTTATTTGAAAGGCCAAGTTACAAAGAGAGACAGAGAGAATTTCCGTCCACTGGTTCACTCCCCAGATAGTCGCAATGGCCTGGGCTAGAACACCATCTGGGTCTCCCCTGTGGGTGGCAGGGGCACAAGCACTTGGGCCATCTTTCATTGCCTTTCCAGGCATATTAGCAGGGAGCTGGTTCAGAAGTAGAGCAGCTGGGACATGGAATAGTGCCCATGTGGGATGCTAGTATCACAGGCAGTTTAAGCCGCTGTGCACAATTCTGGCCCTTTAGATTTTTTTTTTGAGGTTTTATGCTTGATACTGCAAAGCTGAATACAGTCCAGTTGTCCATCAAAATGATAACAGCTAAAAACGTTAACATAATTGTACAATAGACTACTATTGTTAAAAAAAAAAAAAGAGGCATATTACTGATACAGGCAACCCAGGTGAGTCTCACAGACATTATACTGAGTGAAAGAAGCTTTATTCCAAGGAATAGGAGTGAGTCCATTTATGTAAAGTTCTAGGTGTGGCAACAACTCTCTAGGGGAGTTTTTTAAAAGCCCCTTTTCTAAGTAAAATAAGTTATTGTGTCTGGTGTGGGGGCGGGGCCTGATCCAGAAGAGACCTTATTATTTTGGGGGGTAATGGTAATTTCCATCTCCGGCAAGAAGTTTAATTTACACAGGCATATGCATTTGTCAAAAGTTAGCAATCGCGCTGGCACTGTGGCACAGCAGGTTAAGGCCCTAGCCTTTAGTGCCGGCATCCTATATGGGCGCCAGTTCAAGACCTGGCTGCTCCACTTCTAATCCAGCTCTCTGCTATGGCCTGGGGAAAGCAGTTAAAGATGGCCCAAGTCCTTGGGCCCCTGCACCCATGTGGGAGACCCAGAAGAAGCTCCTGGCTTCAGATCGGCACAGTTCCTGCCGTTGGGGCCATCAGGGGAATGAACCAGTGGATGGAAGACCTCTCTCTCTCTGACTCTCCTCTCTCTATGTAACTCTGACTTTCAAATAAATAAATAAATCTTTTTAAAAAAAAACTTAGCAATTTCACTCTTTTTTAAAAAGATTTATTTATTTGAAAGGCAGAGTTACAGGGTGGGAGGAGGGAGAGAGAGACAGAGACAGAGAGACAGAGATGCAGAGAGACAAAGAGGTAGCTTCCATCTGCTAATTCACTCCTCAAATGGCCGCAATGCGAGGAGCCAGGAGCTTCTTCTTTGTCACCCACATGGGTGCAGGGGCCCAAGCACTTGGGCCATCCTCCACCACTTTCCCAGGTGCATGAGCAGGGAGCTGGATCAGAAATGGAGCAGCCAGACTCAAACCAGTGGCCATATTGAGATGCCAGCATTGCAGATGGCGGCTTCAACACACTATGCCACAGTGCCAGCCCCAGAAGCTGCACTCTTAAAGTGGATGCATTTAATGGCATCTAATTTTGTCTAAGATGAAAGAAAATGTAAGCAAATCTTAGCCTTTAATGGCTTGCACACTGATGTATCTCAGAAGAAGGGTACAGACAGTTAAAATTTAATTTCCATTTTATTAAATGGAGAACTAATGGATGAATACACAAATGAATGGAGAGGTAAAAACGATGAGACAAGAATAGTGAAACATTAATGTTGGCATCTTGGTGGTAGGAATATGAATATTTTTCAAATTTGCTGTTTAACAAGTTTCCCAATAGGGGCCGGCGTTGTGGTGCAGTGGGTTACAGGGTGGGAAGCCTCTGCCTGAGACACCAGCATCCCTTATTGGAGTGCTAGTTTGAGTCCTGGCTGCTCCCTTTCTGATCCAGCTTCCTGTTAATTCACCTGGGAAAGCAGTGTAAGAGGGCCCAGATGCCACGTCCCTGAGACCTACATGAGCGACCTGGATGAAATTCCAGGCTGCTGGTGTTGGCCTGGCTTATCCCAGACCATTGCAGCCATCTGGGGAGTGAACCTACAGATGGAAGGTCTTTTTCTCTGCCTCTACCTCTCTCTGTGCCACTCTGCCTTTAAAATAAGTAAAGTAAATATATTTTAACAAAGCTCCCCAATGAAAAGTTTGGGAAAATAAATCTTTTACCAAGTTCTGTCTTCTGATTGTGTTTGGGCTCTAACAGGTGCTTCTGATTGTGTTTATCTTCTTGGCCTCTGTGGATTCTGTGTCCTTGCTGACAAAACAATTACATTTACTTTACAGCTAAGAAAAAGGCACCAAGAACACATGGAAAAATCAGTGAAAGAGGGGGAAAAGAGGATTAATAGTTAGCATTCGTGGTGGTTGGAATTGCTGTTAATTTTCTTCCTTCAGAATCTCCCACTTCCAGCCCAGCCTCCACTGGCCTGAGGGTTCGTTCCAGCACCTGGTCATGAGACTGTTTCTGCTCCGAAATGTTTGGAGGCTGTGTGTGGTGTAGAGTCCGGTCCCAGCCTTAGCCTGCCATTCCAAGTCTCCCAGGGGGTGATCCCTGCCTCCCTCCCATCCACGACTGTGCCGCCCCAGTGCTGTGAGTCCCCACACACCTGCCACTCTCATCTCGGGGAGATGGGCCTGGGGTCCAGCTGATTCCTCTGTTCACTTCATCTCCAATTTTCATGAAAAGCCCACCTCTCTAAGAAGACCTCCTGGATAATCTCTCTCCCCTTTCAGTTTGGAGGGATTGGGATTAACAAAGGGAAATGAATCAAAAGAGGACTAAATCTATCCAATCAACCTTGGCATTTTCTTTCTGTCTTCAATGCCTTGTTCATGACAGGCTGTTTTGGTTTTTAGAATAGGTTACTTAGTAACTTATACCTGTGTTTTATTGTGAGGCCCTGGAGACCAAGTGCTGGGGCTCATTCAACTTTGTAGAGTGAGAATTCAACAAATGTTCATTTAATTGAATCTAGTCTTGCAAAAACATCACATTTATTCTTAAAATAGTCCATATCAGACTGAATGTGTTGTTAATTCATTGATGTCATTTCTTTCGAAGTACATGTAAAACATTTATTTATGTTCATTTAATTTGAAAGGCAGAGAGATTGATATAGACAGAGAGGGAGATATTTCATCCTCTGGTTCACTCATCAAATCCCCACAAGAGCCAGGGCTGGCTTAGGCCAAAGCCCAAAGCCAGGAACTTCATCTGGGTCTGCTATGGGTGTGGAAGGACCCAAACCCTTGAGCTATCACCTGTGGCCTGCCAAGGTGTGCATTAGCAGGAAGCTGGGCTACAAGTGGAGCTGAAACTTGAACCCAGGTTCTCCTGTGGGGGATGCTGGCATCAGAGGCAGCATCTTAACTTCTTAACCGCTGCACCAAACGCTCTCCCCTCCCCACAAAGTATTTATAACACAACCAGAGGCTCATGACTGACCTCAGAAAGCCACTTTGTATTTCATCCACCACGGCAAGCGTGGTACAGGTTTTTTTATACTCCCATAATCTGGGCCTCATTTCCCAGGCGATCCCAAGCACAGTGCACTTTATCTGGGAGGGGTACATCTGGATACGGATGGTACAGGCCTGTGTGAGATTCAATTGCTCCTGAATCTACTAGGTTGCTGAAATTTTTTTTTTTTTCTTCCTGGCTTGAACACAGGCTTGCCTCTTTTACTGCTTGTATAGTGCCATCTTGTGGTGACAAAGTACATAACCCTCACAGTCACTCCTATGCTAGGAAATGGTCTTTTGGGCGTGCACAGGTGTGGACAATATTGATTTTGATGTCCTGTCTTATTTCTGTTATTCCATATTATTTATTTATTACAGCAGATTCCAGAAGGAGACGCCTGTGAGTTATCACCAGCTGAGTGTCCACGTAGTGTACTGTAGGGCACCTCAAAGGGGGCTTCTTTGGGCAGGGGTGTATTTAGAAGCATTTATGATGCTTGTATTTTGTGCATTTCCCCATATCCCTCTTTGCTGTGCCCCAAGAGCTGTTTCCTCCTCCCCAAGCCGATGACTTTTCTTTGAGAAAGACCGCATCTCGTTAGGACAGTGCTAGAAGTATTCTTGGAGTGGGACTGGAGCTGATAAAACTCGAGATTACTTCAGGAGAGTCCAGTGCTAGGGAGACTGTGCAAGCAAACTTTCTGCTATACGAAGCAGAAAGTGGCAGGGGAGGAGCAGTGGGACATCTGGGTTCTAGCCTAATGTGCAGTGTATAAAGGGACATGGTAATCAACAAGCCTTCAACACAGTGAGTAAGATCTCCGACAATTCAAGCGAGCAGAATATAAAAGGAGAGATTTTGAGTCATTGCAAATAGTTCTCATTTTACACAAAAAGCTCCTATAGGTTTCTTCATATAAGAGTCCCCCTGAAAACCCTTGTTGGACTCCAATGCAGACTTTCAAATGAGAACCAGTGTGGACTTCATATACAGCTGATTAATGTTGCAAATGAACGAGGAAGGGCAGTTAGGACACTGACATCACTAATCATGCGGAAGTTTATAAAATCTACCCGGAAATTTTTGTTGGATTTTCAGTTCACAACTCTCCTGCTTCAGTGGGTCAAAGGCATTCCTCCTAGACAAGGTTAACTCTAAAAGGGGTGCTGGTCAGGCATTTGGCTTAGTGGTTAAGAGGCTTGGGTCCCATATCAGACTACCTGGATTTGATACCTGCCTCCTGTTCCTGACTCCAGCTTCCTGCTACTGCAGACCTGGGGAGGAAGCAGTGATGCCCCGAGTAACTGGAGCCCTGCCAGCCACCCACATAAGAGAGCTAGATTGAGTTCCAGGCTCCTGGCTGTGGCCTGGCCCTGGTTGTTGTAGGTATGTGGGGAATGAACCAGTGGATGGTAGCAATCTGTTTGTCTCTTTTCATCTTAAATGATAAATAAATAAATAAATAAATTCCTTATCTCAGTTCTTTAGTCTTCCTATGATTGGCCATTCATTTATTTAATCAATTAATCAAACAACTATTCCCCGTTGGTTGACTTTGTTATAGATTCTGGAGTAAGCACACATTAACAATGATCAAAAAGGCCCATTCCTGCCTTCAGTTATCTCAATACGTGGTGTGGGTGGGGATCAGACAGAAGAAAAAATACATATGAAGCAATTAGGGAAATATAGAAAATAGTTTTTTAAATCTATTCTTAGCTTCTTTCTAATAAATATCAATGTAATAAAAGATTTTTAGTAAAAGAAGACTTCAAAAATGGGGGAATCAGAGTGAAATAAATAAAAGGTTGAGACCAGGCAGTGTATCTCCTTAGAAAATTAATAAATAAAAATTCAAATTTTCTTAAGCCAATTTGATCACTAAGCAAATGACAAATTAGTCTTTTAACACTGATAACTTCTACTGTGTTTGGATGACTGGAGGATCTGTCAGTGGCAAGATTCTCCCAGAAGTGGAAAGACACAAGATCGACGGATGGTACGCTTCAAGTGCATTGCTGGAGCTATGCGACTACTGGGCCTATCATCTTCTCATGCCTCATTCATGGACCTGCCATGGGGCTGCACCCAATGTCTAATCAACCACCAGACTCACAAGCACTCATTGCCAAAGAAACTTAGTTTCTATGATCTCATGCTAATCTGATACGGTTGTTGATAATGATATTTGAAGGGCTAAGGAGATCCGTTCCTGAAGTCTGGATCTCTGATTAAATTTTCCAAATGCTAACCATTCCCAGGGGATAAATTAGAATTAGACATTTACACATGTCTATCCCACATCTTTTGTTAACGTAATTTTAAAGTGAACTTTTGCTTAGATGTGACAGCAGAGGTCATCATGAAGTCTTTGATTTTACTTCCTCCCCCACTGGCAGAGGAGATAGAGAAAGGAAAAATTGTGTTGACTTAAATTTAGAATACAAAAGCCAACCAGAAAAGGGCACTGTGCTAAATATAGGAGCTTCAGAAGCCAGTAAGAAAAAACATTCACCCTTAGAATGAGTTACAAAGGAGAGGAGAATTCTGCTTCCAAAGCTTAGTGTGGGAGCCATTGGTGGGACAAGAGCCTCTAAAGAAACTAAAGAGCAAGGTGAAGCTCAAGGCCATTGCTGCTGAGTTGGGGATGTTAGCTGCTGTCAGCCCACGGCTGTGGACACTGTGCAGCCAGGTGAGCATTTGCTTTGAACTCCTGCCAGGTTTCTCTGGAGGCTCAACAGAAACTCTGAAATATCTTCATTCAGGCTACTTCCAACTCCTGTTTGAATTTTATCACTGTTAAAAACAATTTTTATAAACAATTCACTGAATGGCTGGATAAAGGTATTCATGACTTTGATGGGAAAACAAGGTGTACGTTTTCAAGCTAAGTTAGTGTATTTGGTAGGTATAGGGGCTGAACTGTTTTCCCCAACTTCACATGTTGTATTTCTAACCCCTAGTACCTCAGAATGCGACCATATTTGGAGACAGGACCTTTACAGATGTAAACAAAAGAAAATGAAGCCATTAGGATGGGCTCTAACTCAGTGTGTGTCCTTAAAAGAAGAGGAGACTGGGACACCGACAGGTACAGAGGGAGACCAAATGAAGACACAGGGAGAAGAGGGTCACCTGCAAACCAAGGAGATGGGCCTCAGAGGAAACCAAGCCTGCTGCCACCCTGAACTCAGACTTCCAGCTTCTGAACTAGAAAAACAAGAGCAAACCAAACACAAAATTGACAGGAGAAAATAAATAATAAAACTTAGAGCACCAACAAGTGACTTAAACACCAACATACAACAAAAAGTCAATGAAACAAAGAGCTGACTCATTGGAAAGATAAACAACGTGGATAAACCCTTAAGTAGACTAACCAAGAAAAAAAGAGAGAGGATTTAAATACATAGAATTGGAGATAAAATGAAGACATTATGGCCAACACTACAGAAATACAAAGGACTGTTAGAGATTACTATGAATAATTACATGGCAACAAATTCAATAGCCTAGAAGAAATAGACAAATTCTTGGACACATGCACCTTACCAAGATTGAATCATGAGCGAATACAGTACCTAATCAGGCCAATAACAAGCAGTGAGATTGAATCAGTAATTAAGAAAAAAATCTCTCATCAAAGAAAAGCTCTGGACTAGATGGCTTCACTGCTGAATTCTACCAAACTTTTGAAGGACAATTAAGATAAATACTTCTAAAAGGATTTCAAAAGATAGAAAAAAAAGGAATTCTTCCAAACTGAATCTATGAGGCCAGCATTACCTTAATATCAAAACCAGACAAGGATACAACCAAAAAAAGAAAGCTACAGGCCAATATCCTTGATGAACATAGATGCAAAAACGTCAACAAAATACTGGAAATTGAATCTAACAGCATATTAAAAATATCATCCACCCT